TTTTTTTTTTTTTTTCTTTTTTTTTTTTTTTTCCAATATATAAAACAATACTGCCAATAATATAAATTTATACATATTTTTTTTTTTTTCATTTTTTTATTTTTTTAATTTTTTTATTTTTTAGATATCTTTATAAAAATTCATTGATTATATAATTCAAATTTTATTTTATTATTGGGGACGCACCAACAAATCAATTAAAGAAAATGATTGAAAAATACTTTAAATTTTCTTTTTGACAAAAAATTATTATTTTTTTTAATTTTTTTTTTTTTTCGTTTTTTTTTATTTTTTTTTTATTTTTTTTTATTTTCATTATTTTATTATTATTTTTATTATTTTTATTATCCTGGAGTAGCCTTGTGTATATAGTAATTTATTTACAAAGACACATTTATACATTGAAAACCTACTTTAGATACCCTTTTTTTTTTTTTTTTTCCTTCTTTTCCAAATAAAAATCAAATAAATAGTAGATTTAGGTTTTATTAATAAATTAATAATAAAGGTAATTATAAAAAAAATTTAGATTTTAAATAATAGTTTATAGATAGATAAAAAAAAGAAGATAGAGAAGCGGAATATGATTCATCAATTTCTCTTTATTTTTTAAATATTGGTTTAATTTTTTTTATCTTTTATATTAAAAAAAAAAAAATTAAATAAAATTGAAAAAACAGTAAAAATAATAATAATAATAATAAATTAATAAACAATAATAAATAAACAATAAATAAATAAATAAATAATATGGCAGTAATAAATTAATATTAAGTGGGTTATTGTGTGTTAAAAAAAGATGTTCAAAACAAAACACTACTCACTTACACACACCGACACACACACAGAAAATAAAAAATTAAAAAAAATAACTTATATCAATACATATTAAATAGTAATAATAATAATTAAATTAAACTTATATATTTATATGAGTGTGTAGTGTGAAATTAACCAAATATGCAAAAATTAAAAAATTAGACATTCAAAGACTTACAAAGATCAACATTATTATTATTTTTTCTTTTTTTTTTTTTAAATTTTTATAATTTTTAAATTATTTTTTTTATAAAATTTTTTTTTAATTTTTTAGTATTACATAGTATTTTGCTGTTTATTTTATAAAAAAAGTTTGTTTTTATTATAAATAGTATATTTTTTTTATTTTTAACCGTGTACATATATCTATGTGCATGAGAAACACCAAAGTCAACCTTAAAAGTAATAATAAGCACATATAGCCACCCACATCACATACATGCACCACCACCACTACTACCACACTATATACACTCAATTGTTAATCATATAACTTTCTAATTTGGAATAAAAGAGTTGTTTTTTAATTAAAAATAACAATAGTTTAAACTTTTTAGAAAAAAGTATAGATTTTATATTTGATAGAACAAATTTTATTTGTTAATCAAAAAAAAAGGATTATATATATTTATATCTCCAAAATTGCAAAAATTATATTATCAATATTTAAAAGACACAAAACATGCACTATACAAACATACATGTACACCCTTTTTTTTTTTTTTAATTCCATTTTGTTGATCTTCATTTCATATATATTATGATTGTATTGTTAATTAAAACAAACCACAACCCACTCACAAAAACCCAATTGTGTATATATATACATGCATTAATATAACAATAAAAAAAAAAAATGTACATCAAAAATAATATACCAATAAAAAAAAAAAACAACAAATTCATCAATTTATCAAGACACTAAATATCTTATATAATAAAATCAAAAATAATTTATACAATACTATATCTACTTTTAAATTGTTATTTCTTATCGATCAATAATAAAATAAAAACTAAAAAAAATAAAAGAAAATAATAACAATATATCTTTAGAATGATTATATGAATTTGAATACTTTAATGTTTATAAAAGTTTATGATTATTATTTTTATTATTTTTTTTTTCTTTTTTAAAATTAAAATATTTTTTAAAATATTATTATTTTAATAATTTGTTTTATAACATCAACATTTTAAAATAAAAATAAAATAATATTTTAAATATCACATCAACAAATTTAAAACATATTTGTTTATATTTATTTATTCAATAACAACAATACTAAATCTAATTACTAAATATAATATAACATCAACAAATATATTATATAATAACTACTTTTTTATAATTTACTAATAACAACAACAATATTTTATTTAATTTTAAACGATTAAAATTACACCCCCTATATAACCACCCTTTATACAAAAATGTTTAGAATGTTTAATAGTAGCCACTTTGTACCACAAATTGTTTCAAATGGTTTAAGAGCTTGTCCTATACTTTCAAGAGGCAGTAGCAGCAGTTCTGGCAGTATTATTAATAATGGCGCAAGTGGGCCAAATAGTAATATTTATGTAGATTATTTCTCAACATCTACCGCTAGTATTATTCCAGCAGTTAATAATGGTTCAACCACAACTCCATCAGGTTCAATGGTTTCAAGTGCCACAACTACCACAATCAAACATCCATCAACTTTAACACCAGACAATGCCAAGGATTTCTTTGAAAAGTGTCCATACGCAAATGTCGTCGAAGAAGGTATTAAAAAAGATCACGAAAAAGGTTTAGAAGCATTATCCGAATTAATCAAACCAACTGGTAGTGGTGTATCAAAAAGACTTGAACATCAAGATCCACAAGAAGCACTCTTAAATGAAATGATTGAAATGAATGAAATTAAAGCCACTCATAGAAATTCAAAAAAGAACATCACTGAAAACAAAGAAAACTATGTCAATGGATTCAAAGCAGTCATCGATAATTTAAAACAAGAAGGTAGATACAGAGTTTTTACAACCATTCAAAGACAAGTTGGTTCATTCCCACATGCAAAACGTTATCAATCTGCTCAAGAATATATTTCACCAAATAAAGTTGAATTTAGTTTTGATGAAGACGAAGATACAACTGATATTAATAATAGCAATAATAATAATATTAAAAATAAAACAGCAGGAGCAGCAACCAATAAAAAATCAAGCTCAAAACAAAATAAAAAAGTTAATCATCAACATTTCAAAGAAAAGTTATCACAAGTTAAAGAATTGGAACAACTTCAAGATTCAGTTACAGTTTGGTGTAGCAATGATTATTTAGGTATGGGTCAACATCCAGTCGTTATCAATGAAATGACAGATTCAATTAAAAAGATGGGCGCAGGTTCAGGTGGTACAAGAAATATTTCAGGTACTACAAGTGAACATGTTAAACTCGAAATGGAATTAGCAGATTTACATAATAAGGATGGTGCATTAGTATTTGGTTCATGCTATATTGCTAATGTCAATACTCTTACTTCAATCGCAGCCATCATGCCAGATATGATGATTTTCAGTGATCAAAAGAATCATGCTTCATTAATCGAGGGTATTAGAAATTCAAAATTAGATAAGAAAATCTTTAAACATAACGACCTCAAACATCTTGAAAGTTTATTAGCCAGTGCAGATCCAGCTCGTCCAAAGATTATTGTTTTCGAATCAGTTTACAGTATGGACGGTACCATTGCACCAATCGCTGAAATTTGTGACCTTGCTGATAAATATAATGCTCTTACTTTTATCGATGAGGTTCATGCCGTTGGTCTCTATGGTAATCGTGGTGCCGGTATTTGCGAACGTGAAAATCTTATGGATCGTATCGATATCATCTCTGGTACTCTCGGTAAAGCCTATGGTGTATTTGGTGGTTACATTGCTGCTAATAAAGATATTGTCGATGCTGTTCGTTGTCTTTCACCAGGTTTCATTTTCACCACTTCAATTCCACCATCAATTGCTGCAGGTGCTCGTGCTTCAGTCTCTTATTTGAAATCATCAAATAAAGAACGTAAATTACATCAAGAACGTACTAAAAAACTCAAGGAAATGCTCAAGGATGCCTCATTACCAGTTTTAGATACTGACAGTCATATCGTTCCATTGATGGTTGGTGATTCAGTATTATGTAAAAAGATGAGTGATTATCTTTTAACAAAACATAATATATATGTTCAACCAATTAACTATCCAACTGTTGACAAGGGTACCGAAAGATTCCGTTTAACCCCATCACCAGTTCACAATGACGAATCAATGAAACATCTTGTTAATTCAATTATTGACTGTTTCCAAATCTTTGGTAAAAAATATGTCGCAAAAAATTAAAATTAGGGTAATAAAAAAAAAAAAAAACAAAAAAAAAAAAACAATAAATTTATAAAAATTATCATATTATATATTTTATAAAATATATAATTATACACTATTACCAATTATCACAAATATAAAATATTAAATTGCTAAAGTTTTATTTTATAGCTAAATTTCTTTTTAAAAAAAGTATATATTTTTTTTTAAATTGAATTTTTTTATTATTATTATTATTATTTATTTATTTATTTATTTGTTTATTATTATCAACTATTAATTATTATATTTAATTTTCAGATAAAAATAAAACTGCATCTGGATATAAACTTTCATCTTTTAAGGTGACAGATAAATTGGTTAATCTTTTTTTTGGGAAATTTGTGGATAAAACATAGTGTTCGATTGGTTCTTGAATTAAAGTGTCAATATAGTCCATAACATATTCGATTGTACTGGAGATTAAAAAGTTTCTTTGAATTTTAGAGCCATCATGAAGTCTAATAACTAATTTTGTAACATCGTTTGAGCCTTTAATTAAAGATGGCTCAACTTGATAATATTTTTTTTTATTTTCTTTTCTTTCTAAAAGTCTATTTTCAAATTCTAATCTTTCTCTTTCCTCTTGTTCTTCTCTTTCTCTCTCCAATCTCTCTTGCTCTAATTTTTCTAATCTAATTCTTTCTTTTTCTTGATCTGCTTTTAATGATTTCAAGTATTCTTCATCTTGTTCTTGTCTAATAAATCTGTCTTGTTCTCTTAAGTCACTATAAAAATAAAGATTAAATAATGAGTATATATTATTAAAAAAAATATTGGATATCTAAAAAAATAGTATTTACTTATCGGCTTTTGCTGAAATTAAAGATGGTTCATAATATGCAAAGTGATCTCTAATTGCATCAATGGTTGACTGTTTTGTTAATAGTTGTGTGTCTTGGAAGGATTCTAATTGAACCGGATCAGAAGTGCTTGTTAAGCCAGGAATGTTGTTGCAGCTGATCATTGAAAGGAATGGATAAGAGGTTGCTTTTAAGAAATTGCTAATTCTAAGACCTAATGATGTATTAATATCACATGCCCAAAATACAAAATGTTCGTCTATAAACTCTTTAAACTCTCTTGTAAATAATACATCCTTGCAAAAACTATTTGCATTGGGGTTCTTTGATGAGTGAACATAAATAATCAAAAATTTAAATTTACTTCTTGCAAATGAAACTGTTTCTGTATAAATACCATTTCTGAATGTTGGATGTGTATCACCAAATCTATTTGTTAAGTTTGAAATAGTTCTTCTTGTTTCCTCAAGTGGATTTGGTTCTGTCATATAAGTTACTGAATTTAATATAGAAGAAGAAGAAAAAAAACAATTAATATAAAATGATGGTAAATGAATAAGTGTGATAATTAAAACTAAAGCATACATAATAAATTTGTGTAGTATCCCCATGTTGAAGTGTTTCTATTGGTTGTTGTGGTTGTGGTTGTGGTAGATGATGAGCTTGATGGATTCATTTTATTATTATTTTTTAATTTAATGTAACAAAATATAACAAATCCAATTCCAAAAGTGTTTAATAATAAAAGTGTTGGTGAGGTTTTATTTTTTGTAATAAAACTTTTGGACAATAAATAATAATAATGGGGATTCTTTAAATTTGAAATTAGAGACGACGTTTTTAATATTGAAAAAAAAAAAAAAAGCTTGTTATCACTTTTTTTTTTTTTTTTTTTTTTTTAAAGTTATAAGATAATGAAAAGTGATAATAAATTTAATTTAAAAAAAATTTTTAAAAAAATTATAAAAATTAAAAAAAAAAAATTAAAAAATTAAAAATTAAAAAAAAAATAGAAAAAAAAAAAAAATAATATAAAGTGTATATTTTTAGATTGCTTTGTCATTTTAAAATAATAAAAATTCTTTTAAAAAGGATAATTGAATATTAAATAAAAAAATACACTGATTTAATAATAATAAAATAATAACAATAATAATATTTTAAAAACAAATAAAATGTGTAGAAATGGGGAGAATAAAAAGTGTGAATATTAAAAAAAAAAAAAAACTAAAATAAATAAATAAAAGATTACCAATATATATTTACACTTTTTTACATTGATTGTATTTGTGTTTGGGGTATTAAATAATCGAAGATCCTACCAGATCCGGATAAGTGCAAACATCAGCACATATCATGGTGTAATCTCTAACCGCTTAATAAAAAAAAAAAAAAAATTAAAAAAAAAAAAATTTAAATTTTTCAAAAACACCCTAAAATTTTTTTTTTTTTATCCACTATATATACTTAAGCACTCTATTCTATTAAAAATATAAAATATAACAAAATAAAATATATAATCAAATAAAAAATAATAAAATCTAATAAAACCCAATAGAAGTTTTTTTTTTTATATTCATTTAAATCATTTTTATTTTTATTTTTATTTTTTTATATAGTATAGTATTGTAATAATAATAATAATGGGGAGTAATAACAATAGTTCAAGTAATGGAAATTTATCAACACTTGTAATGGATAGATTCAATGTCAGAATCAATTCATTGGCTGTAGAAAAGACAGAAAAGAATGCTAATATCTATTTGGTTGGTAGTTTCGATGATTATAAACAGTTTAGAACAGAATCAAAAAAGTCATCATCAACAGATGGATCAGCAAAATTTCTAGATTTTAATATAGATTTTCAATATGAAACTAAATTTATTCATAAGCTAGATCGTAAACATCTAAAGATTTGTGTATATAAAAAGAAATCGATGGGTACTGATAAGCATTTGGGTAGTTTTCAAGTTGATCTTTATACATTAGCAACTGGTCCAATTAGTCATGATGTCATTTTTCAAAAGGATGGATTGGGTATTGGCCGTATACAGTTTAGATTGGAAATGTCACATATAAATGATGTTAAATTTAACATTAAATCAATTTTATTATCAAATTTACAAAAAATGTCAAATTATCAAGTAGAATATTCGTTAGGGTAATTTTAAATTATTTATTATTATTATTATTATTATTATACCACGATTAATAGTATTCTAATATTATTTTTCCTTTTCTATTGATTTTATCAAATAATAGTAAACCAATTATTTTAAAAACACCAGTTATTGAAGGTACAGTTTGTCCAAGTTGGTATAATCAAATACCTATTGTTGCAACACTATCATTAAAGGAATTAGTGGATTCACATTTTCTATTTACATTAAAAGATATGAAGCAAAACAAAACTATCGGTTCATTACAATTACCAATCAAATCAATATTTTCATTCATTGAGGGTGATAGTAAAATCGTTAAAACTAAGCTCTATGGAGTAAGCAAAAAACAAGATGTTTGTGATGCATTTATAGAGATTCAGTTTACAAATATTCCGCAATTAGCTCAATTTAAAGATGGTATTCAAACAGAAACAGGTATTAGACATGCACAACCATTCTTTTCAGGTGTTCCATTACCAAAATTAATGGGTGAAATCACTCAACAACCCACTCAAGCTAGTCAAATTAAACTTCCTGCAGGTTGGGAAAGCAGAGTGGATAATTTTGGTAGAGTTTATTATATTGATCACAATACTCAACAAACTACATGGACATCACCTTTAAATTATAGTCCAGTTGAAAAAAGACAATCTTCTATCATCACAAATGGCGTAATTGCTTCGCCTGCTAAAGCAGCAAGACCAACAAGATCAAAAGAAGAGGCAGCAATTATCCTTCAACGTACTTTTAGAAAGAAAAGAGAATATAATAAAACTATTAGAAATGCAAGTCCAAATAATGTAGCTCAAGAAAAACCAACTGTATATCAAGTTTTTAATGAAAACCAACCACAATTACCTCATGGTTGGGAGGTTAAAATGGATCCATATGGCAGGGTTTACTTTGTTGATCATATAAATAAAGTTACAACTTGGACAAAACCACAATTAAAAGATCATCAGCAACAATTTCAGCAACAACAACCACCACCACCACCACAACAATTCCAACTACAACCACAACATCAACAGCAACCACCACATTTCCAACCACAGCCACAACCATCACATCTCCAACCACAGCCACCACATTTCCAACCACAACCACAACACCAAATGTATCAACATCACCAACAACAATATAATCCTTATATAGGCCAACCCCCACATCACCAACCACATTATTCCATTCATGTTAAAAAATAAATTATATATTGCCTTTATTTATTTCTTTAGTTAAAAAATAAATATCCATCACTTGTTATTCATTTTATTTTTTATATTAAACAATCATCAAAAAAAAAAATTTATAAAAATAAAATTATAAAATTTGTATTCTATAAAATTTGGCGCACAATTTTATTTATTAGAATTTTTTTTTATATATTATTTGTTTTTTTATTTACTTATTGATTTGATTAGATTGGATTATCCAGCGGCTCTTGCAGAGTCCGTAGTTTCACATACCGACTGTGTCTAGTTCTTTGATTATTTCATTTATTCCATAGTTTTTGCCTAAAATATTGAATTATAATAAAGGTATGCATTAATAAAAGGTAATACTAGGAATTTTTCAAATAATAAATAATAGTTAATTTGGATTTAAAATATACCTTATTTATGAATGGATATAAATAATTAAAAATTAATTCAAAAAAATTAAAAAAAATAAATTCGCGCATTAATATTTTTTTTGAATTTTTTTTTATTTTTTTGAATTTTTTTTTTTAAAAATTTTTAATGTTCATTATTTTTTTTTTTTTTTCAAATTATAATTTATTTTTATTTTCATAGGAAGAAAGGAGTTATTTGTATCCCTTCCTTTTTTGTTTTTTTTTAATTTTTTTTTTTTTACTTTTATTAGTTTTTTATTTGTAAATTTTATAAATATATTTAATGAGTTACATCATTTAATATATATAAAAAAAATATAATTGTATATAAATATAGCCGTTAAATTATTAGTTTAAATTTCATTTTTTTTTCTATTTTTTTTTTTGAGAAATAAAAATGCAGACTAATAATAGTCAAACTCCACAACCACCACCACAAACACAACAAACATCACCACCTCCACAGCAACCACCACAAACAACAACAACAGTACCACCTCCTAATTTACCAACTGCAGCTATTTCATCATCATCATCATCATCATCAATAAATATATCAAATGAGAAAATAAATTTTGAGTCATATGCAAAAAAATGTCAAGAATTAAATAATAATAGCGAATGGAATCAATTATTAGCGTTGGTAACTGAAATTAGAGAGAATATAGAATTACTTCATACAATAGAATATCCCACATTTTTAAGTTTTTTATTCCCAATTTTTTATAATATACTAAAACAAGGAGCAGTATGTATCAAATAGCAATCCATTTTATAATTTTAAATACATATTAATTGTTTTTTTTTAGGTTCAATTTGTTGATAATACAGAACAAAAAATTAGAAGTACCATTTTGGATATTTTTAATAAATTACCAAATAATGAATACCTTAGATCAAATGTTTTAGCATTATTACAATTATCAATGTATTTATTAGAGGTCGATAACGAAGAGAATGGTTTAATTTGTCTTAGAATCATTATAGATTTACATAGAAATTATAGAAATTCTCTAGAGGGTGAGGTACAATCGTTTTTAAATATTGTATTAAAGTTATATACCGATTTACCCCAAGTCGTTGAAAAAGTATTTTACCAACCACAATCAGCAGCAGCAGCAACATCATCAACTACTTCACCATCACAACCAGGTACTACCGCTACTACCACAATCCAACCACCAACAACACCACCAACCGCATCAACTATTAATCCACAAACACCTTTAGCACTGCAACCATGTAATATAAAAGGTATTGAATCATTTAAAGTTTTAACAGAATGTCCAATCATCGTAATTCTTTTATTCCAACTATATAACACATATATGAATACAAACGTACCAAAATTTAAACAAAACATTATGGATACCTTATCAATTCAAATTCCAAATAATGTTTCATCCCTTCATCACCAACAATATGTGGATTTCGTTGCGGCTCAAGTTAAAACACTTTATCTTTTGGCTTATATATTAAAATCAAATAAAATTGATCAAACAGAAAAATTTCCAAAAGCTGTTATTCAATTACTTCAAAATTGTCCACCACACTCTTTAGCGATCCGTAAGGAATTATTGGTTACATTGCGTCATATTCTTTCATCAGATTTCAAGATTAATTTCTTACCATTCCTTGATACGTTGTTAGAAGAAAAGGTATTATTGGGTACATCAAAGACAAGTTACGAGTCATTAAGATCAATGGCATACGGTTCAATGGCAGATTTTATTCATAATGTTAGAAGCCATTTAACTCTGGCTCAAGTTTCAAAAGTTGTTTCAATTTATTCAAGACATCTTCATGATTCAAGTAATCCATTATCGATTCAAACCATATCAGTTAAATTGATAATCTCTTTAATGGACTCAGTATTACGTAGAAGTGATCCACCTGATGTAAAATGTAGACCAATCATTTATAAAATGATAGATTCATTCATTAATAAATTCTCTTCAATTAAACGTACTATTCCAAAATTATTAGCTGATGATCAAAAAGAGAAAGAACAAAAAGATAAGGAACAAAAAGAGGGAAAGTTATTATCAGATAGTAGTAGTGTCCCTCCACCAACAACAGTAACCTCTTCAATTCAACAACAGCAACAAATAAGTGATGGTGCAATAGTAGATCCAATTAAAGACACCAAAGTATTGTTTAAAACTATGGTATCAAGTCTTAGAACTATATTTTGGGGTTTAAGCCATGTTTGTAAAGCAAATAACGCCCAAGTTGCTGCAGCTCAAACCGCACCAAATACTACTGCTTCTCCTACTTCACCAAATGCTGCACAACGTTTTGCACTAACACCACTCGAAGAGTCATTATTGTTTATAAAGTTATTTAAGAGTGCAACTAAGTGTTTCCCATTATACGCAGATATTAGTTCGACTACTCCACAAGAAGAAAAAGAAATTATTGAACATTTATCATCTTCATTTGTTATTTTAGATAATCGTACCTTCCAAGAGGTTATCAGTTACGTTTTGCCCTTCCTCTATAATAAAGCATTGGAATATCCATCATTATTGCTTGTGGCTCAATATTTCCTCTCACCAAATGTCGTAATTCCTAGTAACTCTAGTAATAGAATCTTTTTAGAGATTTTAACTCCATTCCTCTTTGAAAAATTCAAAAATCTTACACCAGCCGATAGGCCAGATATATGTTTAATTCGTCTTACAAAGTTATTATTTGGTACAGTTCACAGTAATTCAATATTGGCTATGCAACCAGGAACAACTACCCAGCCAATGGACACATCCACCGTGCAACAATTACTCTCAAGCATTATTTTAATTATACTTAAATTAATTACTGAATCAAGACAAATTGATTCTATTCAATACCTTTTATTATTAAAATCAATTTTCCGTAGTTGCACCAGACCTGACCAGAGCAAAGAAATTACATTACTTATTCCAGTAATTCTCGAAACTCTCAATGATTTATTACATTCAAGCTGTTACCCACAACCAGCTCTTCAATTAATTATCGAACTTTGCCTAACAATACCTGTCCAAATTGTAACACTCTTACCAACTTTATACCTTTTGGTTAAACCTTTAATGATGGCACTAAGTTCAAATTCATCAGATTTACTCATTACTACATTCAAGATTTTGGAATTAATTGTCGATAATGCAACTGGTGACTTTTTATTATTCACTTTTAGAGAGAATAAGACCGAATTCCTTTCTTGTATCTATAGACACATTAAACCAACACCTTATTTCTTTGGTCCACATGCAATTAGAATATTAGGTAAAATGGCTGGTAAATCAAGAAGTTTTACTGTATTATCTGGAACTTTTTCAAATCAAGATATTGATCCAAAATCAAATGTTTTCAAATTAGAATTACCATCTCCAACAACAACAACAACAACAGATGAAAATACTGGTGATTTCTCAATCTCATTAGATAAATCAATTACAACAATTAAAAATATACTTTTATATAATAATGATGATTCGTATCTTCAAAAGAATGCTTTTGCTTTATTAAAATATTATATAAATTTATATTTATTAAATGAAAAAGATCAATCTCAACAAATTGATTTTACCAAATATCAAGAAACTTTATTATCAGAATTGGAAGAAAGCTTAAAGAATGTAAACAATGATAAAACTATCTCAACTGTAAATTCAAATATTATTGTTGAATTTAATTCAAATAAAGATAATGAAATGGTTAATCAATTATCATTAGCAAGTTTAAGTATTTCACAAATGAATAATGACCAAAAGCAACAACAACCAATTGACTTTAGTAATATCAAAATATTTAAAACTAAAGATGAATATTTAAATGAAATCAAAAATTTTAAAGATTTAATTTACTGTTTATTTTTATCAATTTCAAACGATACTTTAAAGGTAACTAAAAATAGAATATTAAAAATAGTTTTTATCAATATATACTAATATATTTTTATTTTTTAATTATATGTAGAATCAATTCGATAGTTTAGCATTTTTAAATAATTTTATTTATCACTTTGTTTTATATTTATCATTATCATCAAATAGCGAAAAAACTTTGACAATAAATGAAATTGAACCAAAAGTATTTTTACAAGCATTAATAGATGTTATTTCAATTTCTTCATATAATATAGTCAACAACGAGGCCATCCAACAACAACCACAGTCACCATCATCCGCATCAATTTCAACCATTACTCCTTCTTTATTATCAACATCTAAATTTACAAGTGATCATATAAACTCCATTTTAGACATTATATTCAAGTGCTCCAATGAAATTTATTCAACATTGAATAGTAATAGCAATAAAGAAAGTAATGAAAACAGTAGTGAAAAAATGGAAATTGAAAGTACTGTTAACCAAGATGAAAAAGATGATGAACTAATTTCGCCAATTTATAAATATTTAATTGAATCATTCATCCAAAGTTGTTACGATAAAGATTATTCAATTAAAGGTGCTGGTTTAATTGGTATTAGATACATTTTGAATAATGTAAAAATATCATGGATCAACAGATATCAACATTTATTAGTCAAGGCTATATTGTTTGTAACTGAAGATTTATCTTATTCCGGCTATCAACCATATGTCGACTATGCTTCAGATTTGATTACCAGTTTATTAAAGATTTGCGTACCAACTTTAACTGCCCCAGAGAAAATGGAACAAGAGGAATCAAATGAAACTACAACAACAACAACAACAACAACTACAACATCATCATCATCATCATTACCACCAAGCGAACAATTAACCCAACCATTAGAGTCCCCACCAACTGCCTCTGCTACTACTACTGCATCTACTACTACCGCTTTAAATCAATCAACAAATATTTCACCAATACCAGAAAAACCACTTAAACCACATTGTACATTAAATCACCTAAATTCAAAAGATAGAGCAAGATTAAATTTAATTTTAGAATGTTTAATTAGTAATATTGTATCACCATCAATGCACACCAGACAAATAGCTCAACGTTTATTATTATTAGTTGCAGATGATATCACCAAAATCCCAATTCATTTATTGATTGGTGATGTCAAGGATTGCATCACAAAACTTTTACCAAAAACTTCACTAAAAACTTTTACAATTTCGTTCCAAACTGGTCTTATAGAGGGTTTAAATTTCTGCCTCACCCAAAAACCAACTCTTTTAGAAATTAATTCTGATTCTGTGCGTGTTCTTCAAGAATGTTTAAATGTAGCAGGTGATGAAAACTCAACCAATGTTCAAACGATTAAAGCAAATTCCGCTAGAAACATTGCATTAATTAATAAGCTTAGAGTTTCAGGTGTCGAATTGGTCGCTACATGCATGTTGGTACCAGAGTTTTTAACATATGAATGTACAGATTTTAAGAATCGTATCATAAGAATGTTCTTTAAAGCAGTTACTGCTCGTAATAAAGATATTGCATCCGCAGCTAAAAAAGGTCTTTCAAATTCAATATCTCATCAACGTATCCACCGTGAACTTCTTCAATCTTGTCTAAGACCTGTGTTGGCAAATTTAACCGATCCAAGACACCTATCTGTACCATTTCTCCAAGGTCTTTCAAGATTATTAGAGTTGTTAAGTAATTTCTTCAATGCCGCATTGGGTGAAAAGCTCTTTGAATACTTAAAGAAATTTGATGATCTTGGTAAACTATCATATGCAGTAAACAAATATAAAGACTCTGACGACGTTAAAATATGTGCCTCCATCATTGATATCTTCCATTTATTATTAACTGCAGCCAAGCTTTTAGAATCAACTATTCAATTGACCATAAAGCTCGAGCAAGGTCTTTGCAAAGAAGTGACCAGTCCATTCCGTGAACCACTAGTAAGATTCTTGGCTAAATATCCAACAAAAACTATTGAAATATTTATGGCATCGCCACAGTACAACATTGTATTTAGATTAATTTTAAAACAAAAAGAATTGTCTAAACCAATTCTTGAAGAGATGGCAAATACATATTCAACATGGTTGGAATCAAACCTCAAATCTAGTAATCCAGATACCCGTTATCATATTATTTCAATTGTAAATATAATTAGAAAATCATTACCCAACTGGTTACCCGAAAATAGAAAGGTTTTAGATATTTTAATTGAATATTGGAGAATTCTCAGTCATTTACTTCAAAATACAGCCAATCCAGCAGATATCACAAATCAAACATTAAAAGAAACTAAAATTTTGGTAAAATGTTTTATTCAGTATTGCAGAGCCCACAAAGAGGAAACCGATCTTTATTTCTATATGCTTTCTGTATTATCAGTTAAATCATATATGGATTTCAATTTCCTTCGTGATTTTTATCAAAACGAACTCATTGTACAATCTTCAATCGAACAAAAAAAGAAAATTATTACAACATTTTTAATTTTCTTCAAAGATCACACTATCCCATCTGATAATAAAGTTCAAGCCATTCAAAATCTTATTAATCCAATATTAACAGCATATTTCACTATGGAGCCATCACAAAGAGCCATCGAAGATATTGTTTTCCTTCAATTAACAAAGCAAACCTTAGAACCCGATATCAAGATGAACGATGAACTTTTATTAATCGAATTGCTCCAAATGGAATCTATTCTCTTTAAGAATATGGCTGGTGCATTGGGTGAATGTCGTAAAGAATTAATTAAGTTTGCATGGAGTCACTTAAAGAATGAAGACATTATTGTTAAGCAATATGCTTCCATTTTAACTTGTGGCTTTATAGAGGCTTATGAAACCCCACCAAAGATTATTCTTCAAATTTTCGTTTCATTTTTGCGTTCCTATCAACCTGAAACCAAACAATTGGTTAAACAGGGTTTAGATCTCTTATTACCAACCTTTAAATTACGTTTCCCACCTTGTGACCCAAAGAACAGTGCTTGGATTAAATGGACAAAGAAAATCGTAGTTGAAGAAAGTCATACAACTGCTCAATTAGCTCATGTAATTCAATTAATCGTTAGAAAATCCCAATACTTTTACCATAATCGTTCTCAATTTATTCCACATATGGTACTACTATTACCAAGAATTGCATTAGGTTCAAATTTAACTTCTGAAAATAAGAAACTGGCTTTGGATATTGCTGAAACAATATTGGTTTGGGAAAGAATGAGACTATCAAATTTACAAAAAAATCAAAAGTCAAATATTAATACCTCATCATCTGGAATTCAGACTCCACAGCAACAATCATTCAATCAACCACCATCAACTCCATTTGCCGAAGGTGTTACAACACCAAGTCAAAACATTTCAACACCAAATGTATCAGATTCATCAATGACCCAACAAAATACACCTTCTGATGATGACTATAAACCACCACAAAGTGCAATTGAACATATTTCACTCTTTTTAATTCGTATGTCTACTGCTTGGCCAAATATTAGTGATAAGAGTACCGAGCTTTTAAGACAATATCTTACACTTTGGCCAGAGGTTAATATTAAATTCTCTGTTTTCGAAAAACCATTAAACAGTCCTGATCCACCAGTCGTCTCAACTGCTCTTTCAATGATTAATTTGGTTGCAGAGTTCCATATCAATACATTTATTCCAAATAATATTGTTTCTCTTCAACATTCATTGTTACCAGCATTAAACAACGATAACCCAAAGATATCTGGTCACCTTTGCTCACTATTTAAAAAGATTTTGGTTGCTTTCCCAATTAGTAAAGAGACTATCCCATCAGAAATCAGTTCATTCTATAAATTTATTTCAACTCAAATCGAAATGATTTTAGGTTCATTTGAAAAGAATTACAATCTATCAATTTTATCGATTATTAAAATTTTCAAGGACGAAGATGAATCATTTATTGATCCATACATTGGCTTATTGATTAAAGTTTTGGTCAAGCTTATTAAAAACTATTTAAATACTGATGAAGCATCAACTGGATCTACTACATCAGCTAGTGGTTCAACAACTGCCGGTACAAATACAATCACAACAACTTCAAGCGGTGCTATTGCCTCTGGTGGAACTATTCAAAGTAAGCCACCTGAAAATGCTTCTTCAACTCAAAATAAGAAATCAAATTCAGAAATAATTCAAAGTTTATCAAAAACATTTGAATTTTTAAAAGTTAAAACCTCAAAACTTAATGATGAACAAAAGAAAACTTTAATCCAATCACTCTTAGCAATCATTGAAAAATCAAATGATATAGATTTACTCAAAGATGTAGTTTCAGTTATTGATGATTTAATAAAATTATCTCCAAGCGACACCAATACCAACTCGGCCTCTATTTCTACTGATACTACCGAACCAACAGCAACCAATCCAAATACCCCATTCCTTAGCACAAAAGAAAAAGTTAATTTCTTATTCAAGATGAGCAGATTGGAACAATTAAATAATCAAGATTTATTCTTATCATATTATAATTTGGTATTAAATCTTTACAATGACAATAATACATCAAAACAAGAAATTTCTCAATTAGAGCCATGTTTTATGATGGGACTTCGTTGTAACGATCCAAAGATTAGAAAGTCATTCTTTGAAATTTTAAATAATTCAATTAGCAAAGATCCATATCAAAGATTAAATTACATCGTTTCAATTCATCAATGGGATACATTTGGTCTATCATATTGGATCAGACATGCTGTAGATTTATTATTAGCCGTTTTGCCATCAAACAAATTGGTACGCCTATCAAATAGTTGTTCAAATTTACCAAAAGTTTCATTAACAAAGAATTTATTAGAGCAACAGTCAAATGATAATGATAATGATAATGAATTTATAAAATCATTAAAATTACATTATGATTGGTTAAATGAAATAAGTTTATCAACTTCAAACGAATATTCATTATTTAATGACAATATTAGAGAATTAATCTTTGTAGATCCATTTTTAACAAATGATTTATGGTGTTCATTATTTAGTTCAATTTGGGGTCAAGTTTTAGGTAAAGAAGAACAATTTAAATTAACAAAATCTTTAACAGTTTTATTATCAAAAGATTATTCCAGAAGAATTCCATTGGTTAATAAACCATCATATCCAACTAGTTATTTATTACCAGTACCAGTCAAAGCTTCTAGCCAAACAACTTCAAATATAGTTTCAAATAATCCAGCATTACAACCAATTAATTTAGTTACATTGTATCAACAACAACAATCTAACTCTGTTATTGTGCCATCATTAAACGAACCAAATGTCATTAAAACATTTATTCAATCCATTGATTCATGTTCACCAAATTCTCCAAAGATTCCAGTTGAACTAATTGCTTTCTTGGGTGAAAGTTATAATTGTTGGTATAGCTCAATAAAGTTAATTGAAGAGCATTTGATTTGTAAACAAAAGGTGGTTTCAGATTCAACAGATATTCATTGGGATTATTTATCATATCTCTATAAAGGCCTTAATGAAAAAGATGCCCTCTATGGTATTTACAGAAAGAGATATCATTGCGATGAAACTAAATTGGGTTTGCTTTTGGACCAATTCTATATGTATCAATCAAGTCAAGAAGTGTTCCTATCTGCTATGAATAAATATTCATTGGTTGGTGCAAAACCAACACCAAAAAGTGAAAATCTACTTTGGGAGGATAGCTGGTTAGAATGCGCCAAACGTTTAAATCAATGGAATTTCCTTTACGAATACTCTAAAGAAAAGAATCTTTATGAACTTAGCGCCGAAAGTGCTTGGAAGAACTCACAATGGAATCTTATTAGTAACAGTATTAAGAGAACTACACTTCAAGGTGATTCAAGTATGAAAAAGATTATGAATGGTTATTATTTAACTCATGATAAGAAATTTAATGAAGTTGATCCCTTAATCGTTTCTGCAAATCAAATGATTTTAGACAAATGGGTATCATTACCAGAAAGATCGATTAGAGCCCACTCACCTTACTTGGTAGAAATGCAACAAGTAGTTGAATTACAAGAGTCTGTTCATATTCTCAAAGAGATTGCAACTGTTTCAACCTTACCAAGTACTGATCCAAGCGTTAGTAGTAGAGCTTTTCTCACCTCAAACTATATTAAATCAATATTTGGTATTTGGCGTGAACGTTTACCAAATAAAGACGAAGATATTAAAATTTGGTACGAATTATTACAATGGCGTCAACAATTATTTAACACTATTGCACCATCCACACCTGCCGGTGCCGAACAACCATCTCCACCACTTCCAGGTTCCATTGAGTATGCTTCATCAAAATATATGGTTTTAGAAACTGCTTGGAGTATGAACAAATACTCTCATGTAGTTAGAAAGTATAATATGATTGAAGTTTGCTTAAATTCGTTAGGCAAGATGTTTGATCTATCAATCGAACTCCACGATATCTTTTTAAATTTAAAAGAACAAATTAAATGCTACCTCCAATTACCAACTCATTATGGAACCGGTATTTCTATAGTCAACAGCACTAATTTAGATTACTTTAACCCACTCCAAAAAGGAGAGTTCCTTCAACTAAAGGGTGAGTTTTTAAATCGTTTAGGTAATTTCGATGAAGCCAATCTTTCATTTGCTACTTCGGTAAATATTTATGAAAACTTTGCAAAAAGTTGGATTAGTTGGGCTCATTTCTGTGATAATCAATTCACAAATCACTCTGTAAATACTCCAAATATAACCTCAAGCTCCACCCCTGACATTAAGTCGCAATGGGCTGAATCTGCCATTAGTTGCTATATTCAAGGTATAAAATGTGATCCAAAATATGGTTCCAGATATATTCCAAGAATATTCTGGTTATTAATGTTAAATGGCTCTGGTGAGGTTCCACAATTACCACCACCATCTCAGCAACCAACACCTCAACAACCACCATCACAACAACCAAGCCAAACTTCAGAAACATCAAGTACTTCTACCACAACTGCAGATTCCTCTCAAACTACTGCACAACCACCACAAAAGAAGATGACATCAGCACAAGCAGTTTTCTCCGCATTCTTAAATTCATGGACCATTCTCCCACAATGGGTTTGGATTAATTTCGTTCCACAACTTATTACAGGTGCAATGAACCTTGGCAACTTCCAAGGTTATGGTTTCCTTTGTTGGCAAATGATTGGTAAAGTTTGTTATTTATATCCAAACTCAACATATTATCATTTCAGAAAATTAGTTATTGAAATAAAATCAAATCCATCTTTTACTCAAAAACCAACTCCAGCTACACCATCAACAGCTCCAACTCCAACCCCAGCTCCAACCCCAGCTCCAACAGCTGATAACTCAACAACTGAAGGCTCAACAACAGCACAAACAACCGCACAAACAACAACAGCAACATCCACTGGTACTTCAACAACTTCAAATCCAACACCATCACAACCAACACCAATTCCCCCTCTTAAAATGGCAGATTCTCTCTCTGGAGGTTTAAATCAATTCCATAGTTGTCTAATTAATGAAATTGATATAATGTTAAATATTATAACTACTTTATCGAAGAACTTACCAGCAATTTACCAATTTAATGCATGTTTACATAAAATTATCACTGATTCATTTAATGTAAGTAATAAATAGATTAATAATATAATGAAATAGATACTAATAATTAAACAATTTTACTTTTGAAAATAGAACGAAATGATTACAAAAGATATCAAAGATATGATAAAAACCTTACATAACCATTTCTTTATTGAAAATATTCAATACCCAAATAGTGAAGTATTTGTAGAAAAATTAAAGGTAGAATTTGAAAATCAATTTAAACAATATATTGGGGATAATTTGATGGACACAAATGAAGAAACAATTAATGATTTATTAAAGAAGTTAATAGATTTTAACGATAGACCAATCGATCCATCATTAGTTATTGTTAAATACTCTAACGGAACAAGCAATTATTTCTCAGAAGGTGTTCAAATTAATATCGAATCAATCTCTGATCAAATATTAGATTTCAAACCAAATGTTTTAGAAGTACCAGGCCAATCAAATCCACTTCGTGATCCAAATACAGATTTTAATGTTAAAGTTGAAAAGATGTCAATCTACGCTAAAATGATTAAACATTCAAATGGTTTACTTTGTCCTCGTATTACATTATTTGGTACAAATGGTAAATCATATAATTATTTAATAGAGTCTACACCAGTTTTAACATTCGAAAAGATTAAAGCTCCATCTCGTTCAATTGAAAGAAGATCACAATTATTAGGCTCAATTAATACAATGTTAATGAAGAATCGTGAAACTAGAAGAAGAGGTATTACATTTAATTCAAATCCACCAATCATACCAATTAATCAAAATATTTCATTAATTCAATGTATCGGCAATGAAAACTTTAAAACTTTATCAGATATTTGGTATGATAATTCAAACCAAACCAATATCTTTTATCCAATGCTCAAATATAAAGAGAAACTATCAAACAAAACCACAACTGCTAATATCAACAATGATGGTGATCAAATGTCAGTTGATGATGACGAAAATAATTCTCCTGGTAACTCAACAATTTTACCATTTAGAGAAATGCTTAAAGAAACTGGTGATGATTTATTTATCAAATTTATCGATAAGATGTTTTCAAACTATCAGGACCAATACGAATTTAAATTACATTTTGCAACTCATTTTGGTCTATATTCAACTTTACAATATTTGTTCTTCTCTGATATCGGTAAAATCTCACCAAGCGAAATTTACTTCAATAGATGGAGTGGTTCAGTCTTTTATAGCAATTGGGAATTGAATTTAACCGATCGTAAACAAAATTTTGACCTCTTAAAAGATAGACCAGAAAATCAATTACAACTCTTACGTTTATCACCAAATATTAGAAATTACTTGGGTCCATTTATTATTGAGGGTAGTTATCTTGCATCATTAGTTGGTACTTGTATTTGTATTTCGGAATTAAAGGATCAGTTTGTAAACTTAATTAATCTTTACATATTCGATGAATATTTATGTTTGCATAATGTAGAGCCTTTAACTCAAACCGAGCAAAACAAAGATAGACATATCCATTATGAATTTATTGAACGAACCACCAAAACCGTAAATCAAATGTTAGAAAATAGAGTCGACTCTTTAACATCTACCAATCAACCAGATAAAACTTTATTCATCTCACCAATAGTCAAAAAAGTTAATGAATTAATACAAAACTCCTTAACTTCAAACATATCAGAATTAAACCAAATTTCATGCCCATGGCTTTAAAAATAATAATAAAAAAAAATTAAATAAAAAAAATTTTAAAAAAAAAACAATGGTTTCTTTAGAACTAACTCTTTTAATAGTTTAATTAATATTTATAATATAGAAAAAATGATTTCTTTTTTATTATAAATGAATTTATTTGTAATGGTATAAAAAAAGTTTTTTTTTCTTTTTTTTTTTTTTCCCAATGTTTATAAACCAACACTACTAACAACTCCACTAACAGTATTTAATAAACCAGAGACAAGTTTTGAGATACCAAGTCCAAGAAGAGCAGATTTGTTGTGTTCAGTGCAGATGTTTTGGTGAGAGTTGTTTAAGGTTTCATTTTTGTTTGATTTGATTGAACCCATGGAAGAAATTGAAGCTAATTAAAATAATTTAAAGTTAATATTTTATTTTTTTATTATTTTTATAAATAATATTTACCAAATAATGACATTTTTAGATTAGTTTTTTAATTAAGATTAATAATATTAATAATTGATGTTTTAATTTAATGAATAAATAAAAAAAAAAAAACCAAATTTATAGAAAAAATCTTAGTTGAAAATATTAATATAATGTTTTAATTAATAGGTTGGTCCTTTTACCAAAACCTAATCTTTAATAAACTGTATAATTCTTACTAAATTTTTATATATTACAAATCTAACCCTTTACAATAAAAATATAATTAATTAATTATTTTTACCCCTATTTATAAAGTTTTATAAAATTTAAAAAATCGATTTTTTAATATTGTTATTAACTTCAAACTATTTTTAGATTTTAAAAATATTTAAAGTTATCTGATTATAAAATTTATTAATTTTTATAAACAATAATTAATAAAAAAAATAAAATCTTTGAAATATTAACAACTAAAGCAACTGATTTTTAAAAGATTTTTTTATTTTATATGTTATTTTTTCTTAATCTTTTCATATTTAGTTACAATTACAACCACCAGTCATATTTGAAAGTTGACTCATTACAAATGCTGTTGTATGAGCAATTCCAATTGCAACCAATTGTTCCAAAGTATAAGAACGACCACTTGGACCTTTGAACATTGGGACACCACTACCACATGAGTTATCACAACTAATAGAATTTGAGCTTTGAGATGATACAGAGGAAGATGATAAAACTTTGGATGATTTTGAAACTGAGCTATTTCCTAATTTTGATAAAGTTGCTAATAATAAAGGATAATTAATATTTTTATATAATTTAATTTAACAATAATAAATTAAGAATAATAAATTAAGAATATATTACCAAAGATTGTCATTTTTTTTAATTTTTGTTTTTAGTTTTTAGTTTTTTAAATAAAATATAATTTTTTAAATATGTAATAATTTTTTATTTCTATTTATACTTTTTTATTAAAAATGAGGATAATAATAAATATCAAAATAGATAGCAATTGATGATGTTATATTTTAATGTTGGTAAAACCAATATGATGACAACAATCATTTTTATTTTCTTTTGGATCATTTGTAAAATATTAAAAGAAGATGTTGTTATCATTTTTTAATTAAAAAAATAATATTATGGTGATACGGTAGCGGGTAATATTAAAAGATAAAATTTTTTGATTGATAAAAGTTTATCTTTAGATAAATCTGTTAATTTTAAATTATAATGAGGAAGAGTAAAAAAATTAAAAAAAAATTTATATTTTGGGGGGGGATGAATAAAAAATGATATTTTTTATTAATAATTTATTTTGGTGATATTTTAAAGACCACCTCTTAATCTGAGAACTAAATGGAGAGTTGATTCTTTTTGAATGTTATAGTCAGAAAGAGTACGACCATCTTCTAATTGTTTACCGGCAAAAATGAGACGTTGTTGATCTGGTGGGATACCTTCCTTGTCTTGAATCTTGGTTTTGACGTTTTCAATGGTATCTGAGCCTTCGACTTCGAGGGTGATGGTTTTACCAGTAAGGGTTTTGACAAAAATTTGCATACCACCTCTTAATCTAAGAACTAAATGGAGAGTTGATTCTTTTTGAATATTGTAGTCAGAAAGAGTACGACCATCTTCTAATTGTTTACCCTAGAGTGGGTGTCCTAATTGGTCTGGTGGGATACCTTCTTTATCTTGAATCTTGGTTTTGACGTTTTCGATGGTATCTGAACCTTCGACTTCGAGGGTGATGGTTTTACCGGTTAAGGTTTTGACGAAAATTTGCATACCACCTCTTAATCTAAGAACTAAATGGAGAGTTGATTCTTTTTGAATATTGTAATCAGAAAGAGTACGACCATCTTCTAATTGTTTACCAGCGAAAATAAGACGTTGTTGGTCTGGTGGGATACCTTCTTTGTCTTGGATTTTGGTTTTAACATTTTCAATGGTATCTGAACCTTCGACTTCGAGGGTGATGGTTTTACCAGTAAGGGTTTTGACAAAAATTTGCATACCACCACGGAGTCTTAAAACTAAATGGAGAGTTGATTCTTTTTGAATGTTGTAGTCAGAGAGAGTACGACCATCTTCTAATTGTTTACCGGCAAAAATGAGACGTTGTTGATCTGGTGGGATACCTTCTTTATCTTGAATCTTGGTTTTGACGTTTTCGATGGTATCTGAGCCTTCGACTTCGAGGGTGATGGTTTTACCAGTAAGGGTTTTGACGAAAATTTGCATACCACCTCTTAATCTAAGAACTAAATGGAGAGTTGATTCTTTTTGAATATTATAGTCAGAAAGAGTACGACCATCTTCTAATTGTTTACCAGCAAAAATGAGACGTTGTTGGTCTGGTGGGATACCTTCTTTGTCTTGGATTTTAGTTTTAACGTTTTCAATGGTATCTGAGCCTTCTACCTCAAGGGTAATGGTCTTACCAGTAAGTGTTTTAACAAAAATTTGCATAATTAAAAAATACTGCTGAATTCAAATATGTATTATACTATTAAAAAAAATAAACTAATATACAAATAACTTTTTTTTTTTTTTTTTATTTGTTGTGAAAAATATATTTTAATGTGAATAAAAAAATTTAAAAAAAAAAAGTTTTTATATTTAAAATTTAATTTAAAAAAAAAAATAAAAAAAAATAAATTAATAATTAAAAAAAAAATAAAATTAAAAAAAAATAAAATTTTTAATTAATTTTTCTAAAATTTTAAAAGTGTATACACTCACCACACAGTCACAATAAAAAGTTTATTTTTAATATTAAGTATTAAAAATAGCTTATATGCACGCCAACACAACACCATTTATATTTATTTATTTTTTTTTTAAGTGATTAAGAAATAAATTAATAATTTATATAGAAATATACAACACTCACACACTATTTTTCGCACACTCACCCACTAACACACATAATACAACTTTACAAATTAAAAAATAAATTTATATCACATTTTTTAAAAAATTACAAAAAAATATAAAAAAAAAAAAAAATTTTATAAATAGAACATCAAAAAATAAAACTTAAATAAATAAAAAAGACGTTTTAAATAAACTGTTATAAATTAAAAAAATAATAAAAAAAAATAAACCTTATTTTTATCTTTTTTTTTTTTTTTATATGCTTTCATTTTAATTATTAAATAAATTAAGTTGTTGTTTTTTTGAAATTTGTTTTTTAGATAAAAGTAATTATTTCTCTTTTAAAATTTCACACAAAACAGGAATGTAAAAAGGGGTTCTTTTTTTTATCATTTATTTTTATATGTGTGATTAAAATACATATTGTTTTTAAAAACTTAAAAATTAAAGAGAGTTTGGTTTACTTTTTTAAATTATAAATTTACTGCTATCAATTTTGTCAAATGATTATAAAAAAATTAAAGTTGAAAATTATAATTTTTTTTTGTGATGTAGTTTTTTTTTTTAGATTTAATTTTAAATATATTACAAAAAAAAATTTTACATTAAAAAATTTGACATATATTTAAATTTCATAAAGAATAATAAATATATTTGTTTGATTAAAAAAAAAAAAATGAATGAAATAATTTTAAATTGGGAATTATAGTTTTTATTATAGGTGCATTAAAATTGTGTGGTTATATTGTTTTAAAAATGAAATATTCATTAAAAAAAAATATTATTAATTATTAATTGAATCATTTGAATCGCTATTATTATTATTATTATTATTATTATTATTAGTATTGTCACTGTTGTTTGGATCGTGTTCATTTTCATCTGGATTACCTTCATGACCAATTCTAAATGCCATTTTATCTAACAATCCTTTTTTAGTACGTAAATAAAACATTAATAAAATACCAATGCCAATAACACCAGCTAAAGCAATCAAAATGTAACTATAGGGTGGTTTTGGTGTATCTGGATAAAAATTGCCAAATAATACTGCTGTGAATAATAAAGCTGAAAATATTGGTAAAATTAAATGATAAAACATATTGAAATCTTGAGGTTGTTTCTTCTTTACATATGGAATGACTGCAATGTTTGTAATGATAAAAACTAAAATCAATGGTATAGTACCAACATAACTAAGATAGCCGTAACTAAAAATGAAAAATGAAAAATTAATAAATATATATATATTTTTTAATGATATGATATTGGTTTTACTTACATTTTCCAAGAGCCAGTTGTATATATACCGAAAAAGGCAATAGTTAAAGATAAACATATAACAATAAAAGTTAAAAATGTTATAATTGCTGCGACTGGAGTTGAGAAACGTTTACTTGTATATGATAATTTTGAAATTAAAGGTGATGCCTCACTTCTACCAATTGAGTAGATAATTCTAAATAGATTATTAAATGCACTTGTGCATACATTAAATGTTGAGCTTATACCGGCTATATCAACAAGAATTGCAAACCAATGAGATACAAATTTTCTGGCTACAGTCTCAGCGGGTGAGCTTATAGAACCAATGTTTAAAATATTTGAAGGACCAATGGCAACGACCATAGCATAAACAGACCAAGTAATATATAGTGAGGTTAATAAAACACTACCGACAACTGCTTTTGGGATATAACTTTTTGGGTTTCTAGATTCTCTTCCAAGTGTTGCAGCTACTTCAAAACCAATAAATACCAATACAGAATAAACCAGACCCCTAGATATACCTGAAATACCACCGCTATAAGGACCAACAGGTGTCAAGGCTAGTGGATAATTACCTTGGTCACCCCCTTTGATGACAACAATCATTGTGAAAACCATAATGATAATCGTTTCGCCCACTACCAACAATAAGCTAAATTTAAGTGCAGGGTTGATTCCAAGATATGCAAATGTACAAATAAATACCAAAACAAATGCTGCCGCTATAATCCAAGGAAAATGAAAATTAGAATTTCTACTTATAACATCGGCTGTGGTAGATGCAAATTGAATAATCGTTTGAACTGATAAGGTTAAATAACCGCACAACATTAACCAACCAGTAATAAAACCCATTTCTTTACCTAAGCCTTCATATACATAAGAGTAAAAAGATGCTGATGTTGATATATATTTTCCGAATGTACTGATAGTTGATGCCATTGATATACAACAAAAGGTAGCTATAATAAGTGTAAATGGTGTACTTGTTCCAGCAGCCTCCGCAATTTGAGGAAATACATAAAGTATACCTGTTGTTGGACCAACGCCAGAAACACTAAATGATATACATTGTGCCAATCCTAATGTATTTTTTTTTAATTCTTTATTATTTCCTGTTTCTATCGGTGTTTCGCTATGTGTCATTTTATTTTTTTTATTTATGCTAGAGTTATCAATAACTATATCTTTGCTACTGCCACTTTTATTTTTTATGAATGATGATAATAATGGTGATTTTATATTATCGTTATTACTATCAAACTCATCCGTGTTATAATAATTACTATTTATACTATTAATATTATTATTATTATAGCTATTATAGTTATTACTAATATTGTCTGTATTACTACTTTGATTTCCTGTAATAATGGAATTATTTATATTGTTTTTATAAATACCATTTTTATTATCACTCATAATTAATTAGTCTTTTTTATTTTTTTATTATACACATAAATAAATTTATTATCGTTTTTATTGGTGTTATTTATTTATTGCTAATTAATCTCTAGCCTAGTAAAAGAGTAATAGATATTCTTTATTTGTAAAAAACAATAATTATTCTTTTACAATGTTAACAATATTTATTCAAAAAATACACAAAAAAATAAAAAATAATAAGTTAAAAAAATTTAAAAAAAATAAAAAAAAAGTTTTTTTTTAAAATTTTTATAATTTCCCACCAGGATAGGAGTTCCCATTTTTGTATGAATAAAATAAAATATTTTATAAAAAAATCAAATGGTATTTTTGGTAATATAACACAAGATAATTTTAAAGATATCAAAATAAAATTTTTTTTTATAGGAATTATAAAATACTTCATTTAAAAAAAATTAAAAAGAAACTATTATATTTTACCAAATAAATGTAAATAATAATATTATATAAATGGACAACAGATTAAAAAAAATCATGAAGATAAGTTTTAGTGATCAACTACCCAATCCCCCTTAATTTTTAAATCTAAATTAAAAAATAAACTCAATATATTTATTTATGTGGTTGTTTTTAATTTTATAAATTTTTTTTTTGGGTTTTATTATACCTATACCAGTTTGCACATTACATATAAGTTGTGCACTGTAAGATCAATTCGTCTTATTTAGTTTTTTTTTTTAAAAAAATGAGAGTAATAGAGAACTTTTTCAGATTAGAATGTTTTATCCATCCACAATTTAAATTGGGGATGTAAAAATCTTCGGGAAGATAAAATTTTTCTTATAATGTCGAGTGTGAGGATCGAACTCACGACCTTAGGATTATGAGACCTACGCTCGTACCAACTGAGCTAACCCGACAGGGATAGATTTTTGTAATAAAGTGCACTATGCACAAATAAGGCGTGAGGTGACCAACTTAGCAAAAGGGAAATTTCTTAATTTATACTATTAATTTGAACTCCTACTTTATATGTTCAAACCTTATGGGGATCATATACTACATTTTTTGGTTTGTTTTTTCTTCTTGGCGATTTTTTAAATTTTAAATTTTATATACTTATTTACTTTTATAAATATAAACATATTAATTTTTATTTTTATAATTTAAATTCTGTTGAAAAATAGTTAAATTTTATTATTTTTTTATTTTTATTTATTTTTAATCTAAAAATAAAGAAATTAAATTACTTTCTAAAGGAAAAGATTGAGAGATTAATTGCTGGAGCTCTTTTAATTCAGACATTTTTTTTAAAAATACATAATGAAGAGCTAGTTCTTGATAAGCAGTATTTGGTTCCAAAGTAGTGGCCAATTTAAAAGCTTTTTCGGCGACTGTAAAATCGTTTTTACTTTGAGCCTTTTGACCGATTTCAATACACATTTTACCTAAAGAAGCAGGGGAAACCTCTTCACCAGTATTTTCATTTGTAACGGATTGACCCGATTTTAGTGCATCAGAAATTAATGGTACCATTTCAAGACTTGATTCTAGAGCATCATTGTTAATACAAATCAAAAATTTGAGGAAATTTGAGATACCGCCATTTAGCTGTAAACATTCTTTTGGATGACCCCTAACTGTTAAAAATTTAGCCATTAAATAATGATATTTTGGATCTACCATACTTGCACATTTCATTGCCAATTCAAATGCTTCCATTTGTGCTAAAATGAAAAATTTTAATAAATAATGGGTTAATGGTAAACAATAAAATTTATTATTGCAATCTAATAAAATTAATCCCTAATAAATAAATAATAGATTATTAATAAACTATTTTTTTTATAATTAAAAATTATATATACTTACTTCATTGTTAATTTCTAATAAATTTATTAAACCTGAAGGTTTAAAATTTGGTAATAATGAAAAGGTTTGATTTGGTTTTGAAGTTGACAAAGAACCAGATGATGGATCATAAAGATCATCAGGGAAAACTACACCAGTTGAAGAGGATAATACCATTGGACAACTTTCATCTTTGTGGGGGAAAAGACACTGAATATCATTTGGAGTTGAAAAGAATAAAGTATTATTGTGCCAAATTGCAGAGATTAAAGAAATTGGCCATCTGCAAAGCATATGGAAAGTTGGACGTAATTTGAAAACACAAAAATAATGAGTATAAGCGATTACACAATGGGTTTGATTTTGATCCCAATAGATTTTTAATGGTGGTGGTAATGATTCACCGATTGGTTGCAAGGTCCACCAATCCAAGAGTCTAAATGATTTTGATTCGACCTCTTCACCTATTGTAATAATAGATGGTTCTGTTAAACCACCGCTACTATTACTACCACCGCCACTATTTTGGTTCATCAATGAGTTGGATGATAATGATGAAGAATTTGAAGAGATTGGTGATGAAACATTCGAACCTGCACCTAATGGATTTGATTGTTGAGTTTGGCCATCTCCTGGGGATTGTTCCTTTAAATCTTTAAAATAAACACCCAACATTAAACCACCTGATATTTTATCTTCATTTGGATTTAAAAATAACTCTTGAGTTGCACCTGGACCACTGCTAGTAAACTCCTTGGTTTTTAATAAAATTTTACATATCACTTGTTCTTCTTTTTTGGTAGTTTTGATAACTGGAAGAAAAGTTGTTTTCTTTTTTTTAATTGGATCGATAGTTTCTAATTGTTTCTCAAGTTTACCAAACTTCTCTTTACCATCACTTCCTTTGCCACTCCAAGCAATATCTAATGCGCTACCCTTTTCTAATACTTTCCATGATGATATTTCAATAATTTGATAATTACCACTGCCAACAGAGAGAATTGATAAATATTTACCACTTGGACTAATATCTAATTTATAATTTTCATTTAATGCTAATTGAATTGATGTTTGAACTTTTTCGCTGGATAGTACATTGGTAAGAGATGAATGATAAAGGTAGCCATTATGTGGATAATAGACTGTGTGGTCGTTTGTGGTTGCATTAAAAGTTGTAACAGCCATTGGTATTGATGATGCAGAAGTTGATACAATATAAATACTCTTATTTATCCAACATAAAAGTAATGATGGATTAAGTGGATGTTGAACTACTTTATAAAGTTTTGATTTATCTTTTTTACTTGGGTTTAAAAGTTGATCTAAATCTATGCTGAACTCTCTAGAAACACCATTTCTTGAAAAGAATGAAACCTGTGCTGGATTTTTCATACTTAATAATAAATCTTGATTAAATCTTGGATGATAAAATGCTTCGATAGAGAAAAATTCTTTTTTACCACAATTGATTTTTGTTAGTTCTTTTAAAGTTGTCAAATCATAAATAATAATATGTCTATCGCTAGTTAATGCCATAATTTGTCCAGTGACATAATCATAACTTAGATCTAAAATTTCATGAACTTTTGAAAATTGAGTTGCCAATGTACCAGTTTTAACATTCCAAACACAAACATATCCATCTGTGCCACCAGATACTAAAAATTCACCTTCCATCTATAAAAAAAAATTAATATTTAAATTTATAATATAAAAACCAATTTAATATTTTAAAATATACATACTTCAATAGCCTTTAATTTAACAATTTGACCTTTTGGATGACCATTCAATTGTTTTTCAAGTTCCCATTTTTCAGTATTCCAAAGTCTTATAACTGAATCTGGTCCACCAAATGCTACCAATGGTGAGTTTGAAAAAAATTCGACTGATGTTGGAGCTTTAGTTTCAAATGGTGGAATTTTAACTTCTTTTAATCTTTGTGAGTGATAATTTATAAATACAATTCTATTCTCTGCAATAACAACAACATAGTCGTCAATACCAACTGATGTTATTTGTTTATTTAAATTTAATAATTTATTTTGAGACATTTTCTAATTTTTATATAAAAAATTTTAAAATTAATAAATTATTAAAATATTATTTTTTATTTTAAATACTTACTGGTTTTTTATCTTTACATGATCTTGTATGTTTATCATAAAAATAAACAAATTTAATTTGACCCAATTTATCTGAATTAATATCATAGTTATTAGTTGTAGAATTTTGATTATCTAAACTATTTGAGGAATTTGGTGATAATTTTACAGTGTTAGTTGGTGAACGATGCATAGTTTGATTATTATTATTTAAAACTTGTAATGATGGTATTGATGGCGATTGATTAGTAATCTGTGATGTGGATGATGCTGCTGATGGCTGTGATTGCGATTGAACAGGTGATGTACCAGTGACACTTAAACTTCTACCATCAGAAGAACCAGTACTACCAATAAATGAAATATTATTATTGTTATTAGTTGGACTATTTGAATTGGAACCAACTGAACCATTACCATTTAATGATGATAATGTTGGTACTTTTTTAATTATAGTTTGCTGTTCTCTTTTCTCTTCGCCATGTTGTGAAATTGAAAAATTTAATATTTTTTCATTGTTTTCATAATTTTGAATTACAATATTGCTATCAGAATCTGCATATACTATCCATGGATTGATTGGATGTATGTCTATTGGTGTATAGTTGGTATTTATATGAATACCTTTACTTTTAAATATAACATAACTATTAATACTTTCACTAAAAATTGGTATTGTTGATGACATTTTTTTAAAATAAAAAATATAAAAAAAAATATAAACTATTTAATAAAATACTATTATTACAAATAAAAAATTTAAAAAATAAACTAATAATACAAAAAATAAATAAACTAATGACTTTTTAAAAAAAAAAAAAAATTATGATTGTTTGTGGAGGTATTTTTAAAAAAATCAAAAAAAAAAAAATCAAAAAAAAAAAATTTTTAAAAAAAAAAATAAAAATTTTTTAAAAAAAAAAAAATAAAAATGATTTTTTTAGGTTTATGTTTGTTTATCTTTATTGTTATTTTTTTTAATTTTATTTTATACACAAATTTTTACTACTTTATTATATTATTATTAGTAGGTTTGATTATGGAAACTGTGGAAATACCATTTGATAACGCAATCAAAAAAAAATATTTAAAGTTATTAACTGGAGAGACAAATGAATTATTAATGGTTTTTATTTATTATAATTAAAAATACACGATTTATATGAAGGATTTTTTCGATCCTAAATTTTAGGAAAAAGGATTTTCATTAGAAAATATAAGATCAATCCTAGTTTTAAGATAATTAAAAGCAAATGCTTTAAATTAATCAGTAAAATTTATTTAATGTTTTTTTTATAAAGTTTTTAAAGAAAATATTCTAAACTGTTGATATTTGGTAATGATTTGATGCTGATGATGTAATAATCTTCGAATACTATTATATATATATATATATAATATTAAAAGATAAGACATATAAATTATAAAACCTTCATACCTAAACTGTTTGCAAATAAATTAAAGACTCTTTTGAAATGTAAATTAAAAACCTTTATACAAATATTAAATCTGTGATTAATACCTTTATTTACAGTGCCCGAGGAAAATATGTAGACCCCCCACCGATTTTAAATTTATATATTGAAAAAAGATATTTAGATTATAATATTTAAATATAATGTAAGGCTAATAAATTAACTTCATTTTATAAAGATTCATTTAAAACCCTTTAAATTAAAATAAAAAAAAAAAAATTATATGTTTACAATATTTATCTCTTTTTTTTAATTTTAAAATTTTTTTTTTTTTTATTTTTAATTTTTTTTATTTTTTGATTTTAACAAATGAATTTACCTAATTTTTTGAATGTTCCCCATGAGCCTACGTTTCTAACTAACCAGTCTAATCTGGTGTGGCCAGTTGTTGAATAATACCAAACCACTGTTAATTTTACATTCTTCAGCTCACCATTCAAAAATTTGAAACATAATAAAAGTTCATCTCTTTCATGAATCTTTTTTTCTCTTCTAAAACGTTGATGGTCATTGATTGAACCTGTTTGTTCATATCTTTGAATTGTTTTTGCCACTTTTGTTTTGTGGACACCCAATTTTTTTGCAATTTTACTATTTAAGTAATGGTCTCTGATTTTGTATGATAATATTGAGTTCTTCGAAGTTCATCACTTAACCTCATTTTGTTTATTTTCTAGAAATTATTTTTGCAATATTTTCAGTTTGTAAAAATTTAAAATGATATAAAAAAAATTTTAAAATTTCAAAAATTAAAAAAAAGAGATAAAAATTTAAATTTATTTTTTTAAATTTTTTTTTTTACCCATATTTCCCACACTTTTTTTATTACCATTATTTATTATTTTTAGGCTGTGTCAATACTTATTAAAAAAAACTATCCAAACTAATCAATTTATAACACATATATAAAAATATCAGGGGGTCTACATATTTTCCTCGGGCACTGTAAATAATTGTAAAACAACAATACTTAATAATGCACTAAATAAACAATAATTAAATTTTTTTTAAAACAATAATTTTTTTCGAAACGAATTTTTTTTATTTTTATCCTTTATTCGATTTTATTCTTGAATAAACCGCAATCCTCTAGTTCGGTTCGGAGCTTTAATCTGCTTTAGCTAACTTTGACTTCTTCTTTCTTTTTGGAGACCCATCTTCTGAATTTGACTTATCTTTTGAGCTTGATTCGCTCTCTGAATCTGATGACACAGTTTTTTTATTAATCTTACTTACTTTCTTCGTGGAGTTTTTGGTTGATTTCTGCCTTTTTTGCAACTCTTCTAAATCTGGTTCATCACTTAAATCGGATAAAGCCGCTTTTTCAACAGTCGACCTTTTCTTGTTTTCCGACTTATTCTTCGAAGTCGTTGTTGTAGTAGTTGTAGTCTTCTCCTTTGGTAAATTTTTCTTATTTTTTCGCTCATCTTCCGAATTTAAGTTGTTTGGTTCGCCATCAGGACTTGCTTCCTTACCTATTGATAATTCGAGGTTTTTTTCATTTGTTATTGTTTCTGGATTTCTTAGAACTTCAATTTGGTATAACCCTAGCAGTATTTCTTTTTCTTCAGTTGTACTTACACATTCTTTTATACGATTAAGCCAATAGAAAGCCCTGTCCAAGTTATAAATATCTTCACCCTCCTTATCATCTGGATCTATCCCGTATTTTTTTTCAATCTTCACCATTTTTTTATATAACTCTTGACCTTCTGGATTTACTTTTTCTTGATTTAAAAAGCCAATGACACTATAATCATCTTCAGACATTCCTACTTTAGAGAGTTCGTCAAAAAATTTTTCAGCTTGCTCTAGACGGGCTGCTTTTTTTACTGGATCCATTCTATCAAGAGCCAAATACTTCGTTCGACTCGAAAATACTCGAACAAGTGCGGCTTTCCATTCTATCCCTCCATATTCAAGCTCTCCTGATTGGTCTAAATGATGTAAGGCAACCATTTTATGAAGGGCTACCTGAGCGTTTATAGGAATACCTCCATGCTCTTTAGGGACAAATTGAAAATGCCCATAAAGAACTCCATAACCTATCGATGAATGATATCTAATAGCCTCGAAATGCTCCTCAGTATTTCCTTGTTCAACGATACTATTTTTGAAGGCTCCACTATCATTAATCTCGAATAAATCACAAAATGCATGGTATCCTTTTAGTGTATAACCATCTTCATCTTTTACGATTCTATAATTAATTAAGTTGGGGAAGTAATAGGTACATTCTTTTATATGGTTTTTAAATACCATAAAAACAAAACCGATAGGAAGGGGCGTTTGATTATCAATCAGAATGGGGTTATCATCATAAATGCTTATTTCTTTAAAAGCTCCCTTTTTATCCCTAATACCTTTTACAAGATGATTTCGGATGTGTCGATTGTAAAAGCTAACCTGTGGACTATAATTTTCTCTATCTGCGTTGGAATTTTTATCCCCATCCGCATAGTCAATCAAATGTCCGCGATCAAATTCTAAAATGCTACCATCATCGGTCTTATATTTATATTTATATGTGTCCAATGGAAATTCCCGAGATCCCTTGTAAGCCTCTGTAGATGTATGGGCAAAGCCTTCTTTCCTACGGGTATCCCCTGAGACGAGGTAGTTCACTTTCTTAGTATCATGTGTGTTATAAAGAGTCATATTAGAGGCTTGAGGTAAATGAGTATGCTTTCTTTGATTGAGAATAGATAATCCTGTTGCATTCTTTATATAGATTTGCCCAACCTGCAGAAGAGGTAGCTCTTCTGCCCCTAATTCTCCTATTTTTTTTGCTGGCTCGGATAATTGGGAGTGAAAAGAGGCAACATGATATGAAGAAAGATGTTTTATTTGCTCATTTTGATCCGTTGTACTTGGCTCTTGCTCTTCGTCTTCAAGTTCTATAACTATCGTACTACGCGCAGAATAATCTTTTTTTGTATCCTTTTTTTCCATACACATATCTGAACCGTTATCAATAACGATTTTGATAATATATAATTAAATTAAAATTTTAATGTTAATAAATATTATTTTTTAAAAAAAAATTATATTTGTCTAAAATATATTTTAACATACCCAAAGCTTGAACATCTTTACATTCCATTTTATTTGTATATATATTTATTTGATTTTAAAAGTAATTAATGAAAAAAAATAAAAATTAATTTATATAAAAAAAAAAAAAAAAAAAAAAAGAGAGAAAATGGAAATTGGTGTCGTATTTTAAAAAGTATAATATTTAATAAAAAAATAGAATAAAAAAAAAAGAAATATAAATACAAAAAAAGATAAAAATATTAAAAAAAAAATTATATAAAATATTTTTAATTTTATTTTTGAAATTTTTGAAATTTTTTTTAATTTTTTTATTTTTGAAATTTTTTAAAAAGTCAATTTTTATTTATTTTTCAAGTTTTACAAAAACATAAACGTTTCATATAAATTTTATTTTTTTGAAAAATTATTTGTTTCCAATAAATTTTTGAACAATTTTATTTTGTTTCCAATAAATTTTTTGTAATTTTACTGTTATAGACGAATTTCTGACTGAATATCATTTACTTGATGCAGTTTTTTTTATTATTTTATATTTAATGGAGATTACTTTAATCAGAAATTCACAACTGATTTAGAATATCACCGAGTTGAAGAAACTGCTTTAAGGTTTTTGGTAGTTAATAACATTTAAACCTTCATATATTTGGTGTGAGGGTTTTATCATACCTATAATTGGTTAATTGAAAAAATCAGTAAATTCTAATTCAGTTGTTCCATAGGGAATAACTTGTGAATCTAATGTTTCATTTATTGTAAAAAATTAGAGTAAAAATTAAAATTAAACTCATCATTTTAAATCTTTAAATGGGGAATCTGATCATTTGGTGATTTTATAAAAAGAAACTATTGTTTATTATTTTTATTTTCAATTGTAATTATTCGAATGTTTTTATTTTATTTAATAAAGATTTTGGTATTGGGTGTTTATAACAATAAGGTAATGATATTGGAGTAACAGATTGTGGAATAGTAGCTGGGTCTATTGGTTGATCAAATCCTTTTCTAATTATATAATGCTAACTCTAAATGTTCCACGTTTGGTGGTATTACTTGTGGCTCTAATGTGTGGCTATATTCATGTAAAATGAGTTCAGTTATTGATGGTGGAAGTACAGTGCCCGGATTATATATTTAGACTAGGGGTTCGAAAAAAAAAAAATAGTCCTGCCAACCGCACCCCCACAGCGCACCTATTTCAACCTTTTTTAAAACTATGTGTGCTATAAAAAATCAAAAAAAAAAACTAAAAATAGAGGAAAAATTGAAAAAATTCATATAAAAAATATTGATTGAAAAATTTTTTAAGTTATTTTTTATTTATTATTTTTATTTAATTTTAGATATATTATTATATTCATTATAGACAGAATTATTAACAATATTTACCCTTGAAACTTTTGCCCATTCTCTTAAAGTACGCATTTCTTTTGTCCACACTTTCTTTTAAATACCTTTGGATTTCTAAATACTTTGAAATATATAGGTGTCTCTTTTTTGTCTTTTATGTTCATTTCGATTAACATATCGTCTTGATTGCATAGATGGTGACCTTTTGTTGGTTTTCTATTCTTTGCCAATTTGATCAGGAATTTCATCTTGACTTTGATTTTCTATTTGTTCCTTCCATTGATTATATTTTGTTATTAATATTAAAAAATTTTAATATATTTATTATTTATTAATGTAATTATTTATTAATGTAATTATTTATTTCTTATATTTTTATATATATTAATAAATTTTGATATTGATAAATAAATAAAAATGTAGAAGTTTTTATAGAAATTTTTTTTTTATTAATTATGAACTGCTGTTTTGTAATAAAATATTTTTAAAAATCCGCTTTACAATTTTAATGTATATTAATATAACAATATAGATATTATTTTTATTATAAAAAAAATTTGAAAAAAATTTGAAAAATATTTTTTTTAAAAAAAAAAAGGAGATATTTTAATTGATAATGATTTAACGGTTTTTTTATTGATTTTTAAACACCTTTTAAATTATTAACTATTTCTAATTTTTTTTTTACTATAAATAACTAAAAAAAAAAAAAAATAACCTGGAACTATGCAATTGACTATAAAAAGGGCCTATTAGACCCAAAACTAAAAAACCCTGTTTTTCTAAAAATAACCTATTTTCGAACCCCTAATTTAGACCCCCCCAACTTTTTTAAAATGGAAATGATAATTATTGAATTAATAGATCATATTTAATATTTATATAATGACCTCTAAAATAAATCATATTACAAGATATTAGTTTATTTGCTAAAAATTAAAATAAAAAAAAAAAAAAAATAGGGTCTTAATATTTAATCCGTTTTTTCAATTTCAAAAATTTTTTTTGTTTTTTATTTGTTTTTTTTTACAATTATATATAAATGATTATTATTATTTAATATTTAGTATACCCTCCATAAGCTTTTAATATGGCATCCATTCGGTCAGGGAGTGATTCATATAATGATTTTATAATTGATTTTTCTTTTGAATGAAATGCATCTTGACATACCTGAACTTGGTCTTGTGATGGGTTACGAAACATCTTTTTTGATACCCTTTTATTAATAATTGACCAAAGATTTTTAATTATGTCAATATCTAGACTGTAGGGTGGTAATGGATAAACTTGTATATTATTTTCTTCTAAATATTGTTTCACTATCTTTGCTGTATGCGAACTACAGTTGTCATGAAATGATTGGAAACCTCTTAGGCACTTTATTTATATCTGCATTTTATTATAAATTTAGTTGTGTATAGTTTTTTATAATATCAAGATATTGTTTAATTCAAAATCCATTTGATAAATGAATAAATAAATTGGGACATAATAAAGAAAATTTCCCCAAAATATTTAATTAACCCCACCCTTTCTAACATTTGTCTTGATACGTGATTCTAGTAAAACATTAGTTTCATAAGCCCAAGAAATATGATTTAATTTATAATTATTTATTACATAAAGATGAACATGAAATATAAATTAAAAAAAAAATATATAAAATTTAAAAAAAAAAAAAAAAAAAAAATAAGAAAAGACAATGTTTTGTTTGTAATATCTTTATTTAAAATATTTTATCAATTATATATATATGAGAATGTAGAAAGTATTTATATATATGTGATTGGGCTTTAAAATAAAAAAATTAATTTTTTTTTTGATTTTGATTTGAGGATGGACTTTTTGGGACTAAGTTAACTTCTCTGATGCTATGTATGAAAATTTGTTTAAATTCTTCAAACTTCATGTGTTTTGATGTAATTGACATATAAAATGAATAGATATTGATGATATAATACTTGATTAAACATGAAACAGCAAATATTCTCCAATTTTTAACATATCCATGAATACCACCCGAATATAGATATCTGTTGTGAATATCTATTACATTGAACCATTTTTTATAAAAATCTGATACTAATGGAGGAGACGTTCTTAGAGATTGGGAAAGGTCTTTCAAAAGTGAATCTAATTCAAAGTTTTCATTTTCATAAAGTCTAAAATGTAACCTTCACATGTTAACTGGGCAGGAGCTGGTAAATTAAAATCTTGATGCAAGTTTTTGAGTTTAACCAATGAAAATGATTTTAAAGTATCTTTTTGAATTGCTTCTGATAATAATGAGTACGAATTGGGGTTGGTTGAATGAGATAATGGATCTATACCACAAATTGATATAACCATTCTCCTATTACTACTTGATCTTGAAACTCCCAAACCTAAACATAATTTCTTTAAAGTTGAATCATTTAATTTATAAAGGTCCACTGCATCATTAATATTATAACCTTTACTTGGATTAACTTCACGATTTTGAGTTTTAAAACCAGTTGTTGCAATTGATTTAAATGTAGGAACTTTTTCGTCTCTTTCATCAATTTTACAGACTTTATAATAACCATCAAGTTCTATTGCAATCCAACTTTTATCATCTTTTAATGTATCTTTGAGCAATGTGTTAATGTTGCTACTTGAGGAATCTGAAATTGTTGCCAACCAACCTTTATTTACTATATGATTTAAATTATCTTTGGAAAAAAATGCACTATCGCCAACTAAGTGAAATTTAAAATCTTTATACGTTCCTAATACGTGATCAACACTACTTGAGGGATTTATTTCATTATCTAGCTTGTTTAAAAACTCTATAATATATGGATTTTAAAAGACCCTCTTTTTGGTGATGATTCTGGGCTTTTTTTAGGGGATGACAAATGATGAATACGTTCTAAAAAGGTTCCAACCATATAACTTAAAAGACCATTTGCATGAGGTTTACGAGGTATACATATAATTGGAGATTTATTATTATCTTGAATATATTTCTCTTTTGAATCTGAATTTAGGATATATTTATATATATTTTCGTCAAGGGTGCAAACTTTAATTCCTTCTACCAAATAATAACTAATATCACTCATTTCACCTGCAATTCTTTTAATTTGATCATCTGTAAATTTGGTTGTTGATTGAACCAAAAAAAATCTGTTTCTTTTCATTTTTGTATTACTATGGTTTATTATTTCCATAATTGTTTTAAAAACACCCAAATCTAACATTTAGGTAATAGACCAATATTCAAAAAGCTCTTCTTTGGTAATCCTTGAAATAGGCTTAAATTTATACTTTTTGGAACCTCCTTCAAATTCTCTTTTATAAATCTCTTCTTTTTCTGAGTTGATTTTACTTAAATTAAGATTTGTTAGCTCCAAAAAACTATTTACAAATTTTTTATTGAAAAACAAACTAATTACCTCTTCTAATGATATTCCATAATATTTATTTTCAGGTCTTGCGTACGTATCACCTATCAACCAAAAAGA